ATGAATACATAGTAATCAATATAAAAAGATTATCATCTCCCTTTCTGCTTTGCAACCATGCTCGTTTTCTCTTTCCTTATGACGCCCAGGCCACACTGCCTGCGTGAGCGTTAACACTTATTCCCATCTCTGTGCTTCATCACATCTTGCCATGTTCTATGGCAGCCACATTTTACCCCTGCCACTGAGCATTTAGAACAGCTATTTGCCAACAACAAGGTTTTCAAAGAGATGTGGACCACTCAAAACTCTTAACTGATTTTGATGGGGCCCACATAAACAATTCTGCCATGCATATGTTTGTTGGATGTGGATAAGAAGATCCCTCTACACGTGTCAGTGTCAATGGAGGATTTTTTAGCTTTTATGAAACTCACCGAGAGAAGGCAAGAAAATAATGCTGCATCTTTTTGTCAGGACATTTTGAGGAGTCACAGATGCTGTGTCATTGTCCTCCATAATAACTCTCAACACAGCCGGTGTCCTGCCCAATGCTCATCGTTGTGCTTGATGGCTTTCATTGGGAAGTTGGCATTGCACAGCAGTAGTGTTGCAGCCAATCTATAACATAGTATTGTAAGTGAGCACGTATGAGGGCATTGTATTGATGAGGACTTACCTGATTAAAAACGCCTTGTTGATGACCTTAGTCCTATTCAGTTTAAATATATATCCAAGAAGACATGATCGTAGAAATAATAATCTCATCTCTGAAGTGTTTAAGAGAACCCAAACAAAATTGATATTTTTTGTTGATTTCATGCAAAGCTTGATATAAATCAGATTTTTGCTCAGTAGCCTATATATTAAGCTCCTGAATACACACCCTAGTTTTGTTTGCTTAAGTTTCAGTGATAGATTAACAGTTGAAGCAAATTTGGCAACAAAGTAATTTGTTGTGTTTGCTGGCCACTCACTACGGTAATAAATTGCTACAATGTCAGTGCATATAACTCTAAACTGGGTTCGGCTGAGAAGAATAGTTTGGGGGAAATAGACCTTTTCCTTTTTGAGAGTGAGATCAAAAGATCAATATCAATCTGTTACTTCCCTGTATTCTCTCTCCTCCTCAAGCCTCTCTGTGAGTTGCTGTGCACCTATTGGTCATTTCATGCACCTGCAGCCTTGTGGCACTAGATGCAAACCATGAATATTTCTGAAGACAATCAACTAAACTAAAACTTAAAAGGAATAGTTTGTTTCAGTGTCGGAGTCACATAGCCACAGGGAATGTACATCCTCCTCCCTAGGGGAGCTACTGGATGAATTTAAGGTTTGTGGACATTATACTGCATTATACTGGGAAAGAAAACCCCTGACACATCACTGAAATCTAATACTGTCTCCGATTGTAAGAGCTCAAGATTGTGATCACTGCACCAACACAGTGAACACCTCCCTTCTATGTTCTCAACTGATTTTATTACTATAGTCCATCTCAGTGTATGTTGTGTTCCAGTGCCTACATACAGCATGACTGTCAGATGCTGCTTCCACATCATGAGAAATTCTAGCGCACACACTGATAATCTTGCCGGATATCAACCAACACTGGACGATAACAGTCAGGGTCAGTCCAGATGTCTAAATATGTGGAGCCTTACTCGGGCCAAGGAGTCTGATGCTCTTGTTGAAGCTTTATTTAACTCTTTTATGGTTATGTGCACACAGTGCTTGGTTAAGGTTAGCAAAGATCTGTTTGTTTAATATAGATAAAGTCTTTCAGTGACAAAGCAACAGACATGTATGTTAGCATCCAAAGAAAAACACAATCTTGCTCTAATTTTAATCAAATTGCTCTTGTTGTATGAACCCAACCACAGATAGGGCTCTGGATGGGGACCCGGGACATAGGTGCACCACTTAAATCTGCCATCCACCCTGAACATATCCCTCGATTGCCGAACATAAATCTAGCACTTAATTTTTCTTTAAAAGATGTTGCTGAAGATAATCCAGTGATTACTCCACATTTGTCTCCGCATCTTGATTCAGCAAACAAATTAGTTGTATACAAACCTAATTTCTAGGAGACATGGTTGGCTTTAGAGATTCTGAAATGTCTTCTTTTTTTTTGTTCTTGGAAGAGAGTGAAGCCAACTGTTTCCCCCTTCTTCCAATCCTTATGCTGAGCTCAACTACATCCTGACTCCAGCTCTGTTCTTTACATGACACTGGTATCAATCTTCTCACCTCACTTCCTAAAAGAAACATTTCCCAAAGGTTAAACATGGTCTCACAGAAATGCCTTAGTCATGCAATAATATTCTACATTTTCCTCAATGTATGAGTCTGTCTTGGTACTTTAGAGTAGTGCCATGTACTTGTGTTAATAATGAACGGCTGCTGTGACCAAGGTGATTGGAATGCAAGGACACCTATTGGAAGCCAGTCACAAGGTTGCCTTGGTCTTATATTCGCCTCCTCCCACTCCCAATGTCTATCCTGTGCAGTCTTCATTTGAGTTGTGTGAGCATACACCCTGTTTCTTGAACGTGGCCATTAGACATGACCTAACACTGGAGTTGATCCCTTGCGAATTAGAAGCATCATGCATGAACCAGGATACCTAACATATGTTTCTGAGAGGACTTCCCATTATTCACATTGATGTGTTTTTGTTAATATCCAGAGAGCCTGTTGTTGTGTGCCTCATTAACCCAGCTGATCTAAACACACATGATTCATACCCTGCAACATTTCAAATAATCACAAGATTGATTACAATTATCATGTTCTACTCTGAAAACCAATTTCTGCTACTTCTGCTGTTTCTCTAATCTAGGGCCTGTTTGAGAAAGCAGGTTTATCAAACTCTGAGCCAAACCCTGAACTCTGAGTAGATTAACCCTGAGATGGGAAACCCTGAGCTTTCAGTTTCAGAACAGCTCATCTGACCTAGTTCAATCAACTCTGAGTATGTTCACTCTGATTCATGCTGGCTCATGAAGAATGGAAATCATCAGTGGAGCTCTGATACTGTGATTAACCATGGTATTAATTATGTGTTATAATCCAATAGAACCAGAAATAGTAATTTGTGGCAATGCACTTTTATCTTTAAAAAACACCAGCCGCAAGAATCAA